AGATTTTCAGCTTTAAATTTTATTTGCAATGAACCTTAAATAGGTAAGTAAAAAATGCAAAGCAACTGATAAGGAGTTGGCTGATAATGATCGCGATGAGAAATCATTTGTTTCCAGGATGTGCTTTCTGGACCAAGCAGCTATCTTCAAAAGCCAAAATATTTGTCATTGCAGCGTATTCGTGATTTGTTTGCAGTTGGTGATAAATTAACTATTATTGGGTAATTTAGTAATTTAGATTTAGATCTACAAAATAATATTTGTGTTTTTTCTCAAGTCTCATAATTTTCAGATAATCTACTTTTCTGTGCTTACTAGAGTGTTTGCAGAGAATTGGAATCTGTATTTTCGTCTTTATCTTCAATAAATGCCTCATTTCTTTATGAAAATGAAAAAAAATATCGATGTAGTGCATCAAATAGTTGTTTGGATTTGGATCATGTGGTTCAAGCATCCAGTATTATTTCGGAAAATACAGATGCAGATCAATATGCGGAGATAGTCTGTTTTTCTTCTCTTATCTGTATTTTTGATCTACAATTTAGTAATTAGTTTGATAGAACAAGGAATTTGCTAATCTACAGCTCCTTCTCTTTTCATTCGCAAACACATTCTACCTTACATTGATTTATTATATTTTGTGGAATATTTAAGAAATTTTAGATGCTAGCAAGTTTGGATGCAGCAGGAATGTGGGAACTATCTTGGGAAAAAATAAGCTGTCTGGAATCTCTTCGAATTTATCTAATTTTGCCTTCACTGTATTTGTTTTCTTCGCCTTCTCATGCATCTGTCAAATCACTTCATTTGCCATTTGTTCGTTCAATTCAACTCCTTCGCGAAGCAAATCGGAAGGTGCTAGGTTTGTTATTAGATTTTATTTCTAGATAAGCGATATACACGAGTAAGTATTTATTCATTTTTTTTTTCTCTTTCCTTAATTTGCTTTAGCTTGTTTTTTAGTTTCTAATAAAAAATCTAGTGTAATTCTTTATTTGAGAAGCGTTTATTTAGAGAAGTGGTGGTCATTACTTGAGCGACGACATTTCAATCGTTTAGTATTGGCGTTGGTTAAGGCTTTAGAACAGCTTGTGGAACATGAGCCGAATAATACTTCTAATGTTATTCCTTTTTGCTCGATTTTATCGCGACTAAATGCCATCAACAGATCCCAGAAGTTGATTGCTTACGATAAATTTTACTTGAATAATTTACAGAAAAAAGTTGATATGGCCAACGATCTTGCTGGATGGGAATTTAACGTTAGTTATTATTGATTGGTTCACATTTTTGTAGTGTAGGATGAACAAAGATCGTCGTGTTCTTTGAGCGACGTGTTTTTTTTTTTTTTTTTTTTTGGTAAATATGAATTGGCACATAAAACCTATGTTTTCAGGCTCAACATGATGTTTTCTATTGGTCAAATTATCCGTTCCTTTTAAATGCGGACCTAAAAACATATCTGTTGCAATTGGAGGCTCATATTCAAATGCAGGTATGTTTATTGTGTATGTTTAATGTTTTAAATAATGTTTATACAAAATATACAGTCGCATTTTCTAGTGCAATAAAAACGAATAATTTTATTTGCAACTATTTTACGTACTGATATTTCATTTGTTCTTTTCAAAACTTACTTTTTTTTCGATAGATCTTATTTGTTTGGATCAATGCTATATTTTCAGATTTCCATGTCAACTTCTGGAATTATGATATTGCCTTTCAATATTTCGCTTCAACCGCATCCGTTCTTTGAGATATCTGTTCATCGGGATAATATTGTTGACGATGCAATGATTGCATTATTGTCATCAAAACATATGGATCTCAAAAAACCGTTGAAAGTATGCCTCAATCGATGTAATGAATTAATTTCGGACGATTTAAATTTAAATCAAATCCAGTGGTAATTTGTTATCATCAGGGGTCGTGATTTTTGACAGCGAACTCCAATATCTTTCCGTTGTGCATCATTTTTTTTTTTTTTTTGTCCATGCAAGTGTTTCTTATTAATTAAGCCATTTGCTCATTTTATTGTGATGGCAATAATATAGTTCTCAGCATGTGTAATGCTTCCTTATCACACTATGTTTGCTGCTTTTCAATATACAGCATGTCTTATGTGTTTCATTATAGGTTTATTTTATCGGTGAAGAAGCTGATGATGCTGGTGGTGTAAAAAAAGAGTTCTTCATGTTGCTTTTTCAAGAGTTACTTCAAGCAAAGTATGTTATAAAATACTAATTGCTAATTTTTCAAATATTGTGGCATAGTATGTTCTTGCGGGTTAAAAAAAAAGGAACGTCGAGATTTTATGTTATTTAAATTCTCTCAGCATCTTACTTTCATCATTTTTTCTGTTATGCTTTTTCTATCATTTGACTAAACATGACATCATTATATTGTCAAGCTTACAAATTTTAATTTATTATCATAGTAACTGCTTTTAGATATGGGATGTTCACAGAGAATGAAGAATCACATTTAATTTGGTTCTCAGGGGTAGAAACAGATCCATTAAGCTTTAAACTTGTTGGAATGCTATGCGCTTTGGCTATCTACAACAGTGTCCTCGTTGATTTTCCATTTCCTTTGGCTTTGTATAAAAAAATCTTGGATGTTCCATTAGAACTTGAAGATTTAAGTGAATTAAGTCCTGCAGAAGGAAGGTGATTTTTTTTTTTTTGTTTTGTTTTGTTCTCTGATTTAAAAGAACTGGAATGATATCATTTTCCTGATATAACTGTAATGTTTGTGAGCTATACTTTTAATCTTTGTAGTGTCATTTGCTAAATTTATGTCTACTATGGTATTTTAGATCGTTGAGGAGTCTTCTGGATTATGAAGATGACGATATTGAAGAAGTTTTTAGTTTAACATTCATGATTTCTGTATCCTTATTGGGTGATAGTAAGGATATCGAGCTGAAAACAAATGGTGCTGAAATACCAGTAAATCAAGCAAATAAACTTGAATTTGTCCAGGTTTCTCCATCTTTTCTTTTTTCTCTTTTTTTTATAGGTGTTGGCGCAAACTGTTAGAATATGCATAATTTATTTAAAATGAAAATAGTGAAAAAGTGAGAAAATAATCTAAATTAAAGAGAAATACAGAAGTCTAGCTTTATGTGAACATAACTGTAGTTTGAATGAATAAATTACTTTGTTGTATTATGTATAATTTGAAAAAGTTTAGCTTTATATAAAAAAACGCTTGGAAGAAGGTTGTTATGGTGAAATAGGTCGTCAGATGCGTTCATTTGCTGAAGGATTCGGAAGCGTGATGCATTCAAAAATCATGAATTTCTTTCAACCGCAAGAACTCATGGAGATGGTTGTTGGTAATGAAAATTATGATTGGAATTTATTTCGAAAAGTTCGTTTTTTTTCCTTTCTCAGAATTCTGTAGAAAGACTATGAGCTAGTAATGATGAACTTCCCGAATTTATGACTATGTAGTTTTGAAGGACTCCATTTAAACTTAGTGTAAATTTTCTCAATCATATAAAACTAAGATGCAGTTTACATGGCAGTTTGTTGCTTATAAAAAGTATCTTTATAAAACCATAGTTTCAGAATGCAGAATATAAAGGAGTATATCACGCACGACACGAAGCAATTCTTTGTTTTTGGGAAGTTTTCTTTGAATTTAACATTGTTGAAAGAAAGAAATTTTTGCAATTTTTAATGGGAACCACAAGGATACCGATTCAGGTTTTTTATATTTTGTTTAAAAGTAAATATAATTTAGAATTCAAAAATATAACTGTGCTTTCCATTGCTCTGCAAAGATTTAGTAGAAATATTTTGCAATTAGATTCAAAATTTTCGCCTCTACGGCAAAAAGAGCAACAAAGTAAAATGTTTTCAATAATATTGGGAAAATATCATTTTACTGATTACGTAGTGTAAGGTCTAAATCCCTCATATTGTTTGGTTTGTACGGAAAAATTTTTTATTTTAAAGGGTATGTCAGCAGTACAGATACGGATACAGCCATGTGATGAGAAAGCACTACCGGTAGCACATACATGTTTCAATTTGCTTGATTTGCCGAATATCACTGATCGACAAGAGATGCGACGTAGATTGCTTATATGTTTAGATCAGTGTCATGGTTTTAATCTGGTATAATCATACTTCATGTTGTTTCATTTACGATTCAAATGAATCAAAAATATTCGTGTTGTATTTTCAGTGGGAATTAAATATTTGAAAATTTTCATTATGTGAATCAAAACTTAATAATTGTTGGTGTGTGTTAACTTCAATGTAAAAATAATGCGGAATCTTTGTGCATAAAAGAGAATTAAGTTGAACAAAACAGGATGAAGGATGTAGAGCAAAACAGGATGAAGGATGACTCCATCAAACAACATGGAAACAAAATTAAGTATTAACATTGATAAAATGTGTATTGGCGTAAGTTAAACTTACGTTAAGAAATTATAAATGACAAGGAAAGTGCTACTCGATTCAATGTGTTGTAACATTTTAAGGTAAAGTAATTCGATTTAATCCTTAAAAACAGAAGAAGCATTGACGTCAGTTTTGTGAAACAAATATGCCATAACCATGACATTAAGTTACGAATAGCCAATTAATATGTAAATAAGTTGGTAATGTGTCCCCATGAATTGTCTTTCCTGACCATCATAATGTTGTTTCTTTGCTGATTTACTAACATTTTAATGGTATTTCATTCAGTAAATAAATAAAACTAATCTCATTAACGAAAAAACTGAACTGACTTGGTTATTAAAGAGGTACTATAGGTACTATATGAGCAAAACTATTAGTAAATGTAATTAGTGGCGCACATGTCTTTTGTTATTTCAAAATATTACTTAAGACTGTTTATACAACATCTTTCAATATAGTACAAGTAATGTGAAAACAAACGCGCCTCTAGTGATTGACAGTTTAATCTCGCACTTTTTTAGTAAGACTATGACATCACTGTTATATCTGTTTTTTTCTTTTTCTTGTCCAGAAATTCTATCACCAGTATTTCGGTATTGTTAACGCAAATGCGGCTTCAAATTCGAAATTAAAACATTCTGAGAACCGGTTTTTGATCTGAAAATATGACAAGATTAAAAAAAAAAAAAAAAACTGTTTTGAAAAAAAGCTGTAGATTCGAATCGAATGAACCTCACTTTACATTGGAATTAATTAATGAAAGTCATGATTTAATGTCTTCTAGATTTACCACGTTTTAATTCTGGAAAATTCGACAAGAAATATGAAAACTATCAACCTTGGTTGTCGATGAATGCTTAAAAATACTCGTCTTTGAAAATTTTGACATTCGATTTTGCTTTCCATACCTTTGTTTTCGTGACGGAGTAGTATCGGTTATTTCTGTAAAAATAGTTTATGTAATTTGAGGATGAATCAAGTATTACTCAATATTAAATATATGACATTAAAAGCTAACCATCATCACTTAAACTTATAATATTTGTATCATCAGACATCGATCTGGAAATGCTATTCGTTCCCGGTTGCAATGTTTGCTTTCCTATAAACATGCACATCCTTCTTTTTGTTTAATCGTATATTTCCAAAATACAATGTAAATTTTTAATGAAGCAGAAAAATGATCTTATATTTATACTTAATTGTAACTATTGTTAGATTATTTAGCACAGCATGGTAATCTGTACTTTAAAACAGTTATGTACTTTACTCAGTTCTACCCAATTCTTGCGGTTTGTACTTTCAAATTCCTACCTTCTGGGTATAAATTCATTTGGTCGAAATCATTAGCTAATTTATCATTGTATGTCCTCGTAATTACAATCTCTTCCTCATCCGTATCTGAAAAATATTCGTTATACTAGCGCAGTAATATTTTAACCTGATTTATAAATGTTTTCCTTGCCGGTAATCGGGTGAAAAAAAAAAAAAAACTAACCTTATGTTTCGAAATATGATTATTGTTTGTTTTTGTTAGTATAGATCAAAGATACAATTTTTGAAGGTTTAAAAATTTTTTAGGAAAATTAAAGTTTAGAAAAGGATTTTTCTAAAACATTACCATCGGTTTGCTCCTCAGGATGCTCTACTGTAAGCGATTGTTTTCTTCGCTCTTTTGATCGTTTTTTTGGAGTACAATCACCTACAAACCATCTACAAATCATTTTAATTTGTTATTCCAAATTATTAATATATTTATATATACTCAATTAATATTGTAAGCAAAAATAACGATGTGTGTTTGAAAGGAATTTCAAGAAGAAAACAATTAAAAGCATAAGTTAAAATAATTACATGATTTCTTCATTCTTCTTTTTACCGGTGTTCTTGATGTCTTCTCTACATCGATTTCTATGTCTCCCATATGTGTCTGAAATTGCTTTGCTCAAGATTTTCTGTTAAACTAAACAAAACTAAAAAGGCAATAAAACTTTACTACGGAAAAAAAGAAAGAAATATTGGGTATATATGTTAAAATATGATAAAAAGGTATATATGTCTCGTGAAAAAGTATGATAATCTTTTGTATAAACTCATAAAAAAATACTACAAGTATAGATGACGCACGACAGAAAAGAAAGTAGATTGCCTCTGGTATATATTACTGCCTTACTAGTAATCGATAAATATTGAAATTTTACAAATTTACATAATTGCATATAAGGTAGCCACGCGAAAGCTATGATAAAAAGAGTTGCGGTGTAGGAATGACAACTTATAACTGAAAATAATTAGAACAAAATGATTAAACATATCAATAAATATGGATATCACCTTGCATCATAAAATATTTTATAAAAAAAAGAAAGAAACAAACCACTAAAAATTTGAAATCGGCACTTGCCACATCTTCATTAATACGACACATCTCAACTTCTACATTACGCGGCTCATCACCCAGCAATTCTACCTGAGCACAAGTTGTAAACTTTTCACAATTTTTGGCAATTTCATTGAGTTCATTCAATCTGTAAAAAAAATGGAACATTTCCTCTTTTTAGAATGCAATATAAATAAAAAAAAAAAATCACAAAAAAAAAAGAACTAACGTGTTGGGCATTAAGCATTTCATTTCTAGCATTAGAAAAAAAGCGTAAACAACTTTTACATCTTCTCCAATCATTAAAGAGAAAATTTCAAGAAGATCACCGAATGATTCGCTAAAATATGGCGACGCGTTTTGGTATATAATATCCACCGCTAGAATATTATTAGTTGAATCAATGAGTACACATCAATAGTTACACATCAATAGTTATACGCTGCTAAGTAGAGAAACACAAAATAAATAATGAAATAATTAACTTTTGATTATAATCATAGATAGTTTAAAAAAGTGATTCAATAAACACAAAAATGTTATACCAGGTGTATAAATCATTGGAATATAAATCGGTTCGCCAGAATTAAACTTGAGCAATCCAGGACAATATATTGGTCGTGGATATGACTTGAAAAAAGTTTCATAAATTTCAAAACATTACATTTTCAAACAATAATTTCTCAGGGCTTAATGCTGTAGTTTATTCAGCTTACCTCATAATGTTCCGAACATGGAAATAGCTGGCGCCATTTTGTTCGTACCTCATCGGAGCAACATAAACCCTGTAATAGTATTAAATTTTTTTTTTGGAAATTAGAAAAGGATTTTTAGAAATTCTTTCACATATAGTAAGCCACTTTAAATATTGCAACAAATATAGAAAAAGATAAATATTAGTTATGCCTCGCTTTTCAATACTTTCTTGTTTTTGGAGGCTATCACAACTTCATATTCCATTCGATGATTTTTGAACGATTTAAAAAACATTTCAGCATTATATCTGCAAAAAGTAAAAATTAGTCAGCTTACAAATTTAGATGATAATCATGCCTCAATTTCTAAAAAAATATATGGATACTTACCGATCAATTTTTTCAAAATTATCTGTGGAAGTACTTTTTTCCAGATCTTCATACCATTCAAGATAATGAGTTGCTTGATAACGAAGAGGTGCTAAAAATAATACATATAGCTTATATGTTGGTCAATCAACAGTTGCAATGACTGTGTAAATCAAATGAAAACGAAGTATTGTTGCTCAAATATATCCAAAAAAAAAAAAATGATGATTTCAAAATATTATATTTAATACTAACATCAATTAAACAAATAACTTACTTAACAAAGCTTCTTTGTTGAGGCTTCGTAATGATGTGAAGTCGAAATCATCCTCAAAAGTACTGAGCAATGCATAATCACGTTTCTCCATAATAAAATTACTTGGTACGCATCCCTAAAACATTCTAAATTTTGAGAAAGCATAAAGAAAATAAACAAATCTACACTTTCAATATTTACTACTATACAATGAAAAATTTTACCCTAAAATATAAATTTCGACCACCCGTTAAACGACCATTACCAATTTGCGAAACTTTTTCTCCTCGATAATTTTCACGAACGAATAACATGCGATGATTTTCAAATACAGAATCATATTTAGGAAGGGCAGTTGTCCTGAAAATTTCCGCTATCTGGTATGATTTCGCTTAGGAACAACTGAGTACTCTAATCAACATGGGTGTTTACTTAATATATTGGTTAATAAAATCTGATTCGGATATCTCATTCAGCAAGACAGCAGTGTAATTGAAGTATGGCGGGAAATAAATAAAAAAAAAAATAATCAATTAGCTGAAGTAAGCAAAAGTACAAAATATACGTCCATCGATAGATCTCTTTCAAAAATATTTTTAAAGATAACGTTTATTGCTACAGATTTATTAATACTATGCTATTAATTATTTATTAATATTAAGCTATTAAAGTGTTTCATTTTTACTTATTGATTATAGTCAGCAAAATGAAGATGAAAATAATACCTTTTTTCTAAAACATCTTTCAAACGCCTATTACGCCATACATTCATACGCATTCTTAACTGCTGTATCCATAAACCGAAGTTAAATTGCTCTTCTTTGGTATTCATTGCATCGAACTACAAACAAATAGAAAAACTTAATGATATCCTACTTCAGAAATAGTATACAAAGCGAAATACCTGTGTTTTCATATTGAATTCCATATTATCATTGAGGCCAAACACCAGTTTCAGCGCAAAAAGTATTATTGCGATTGCCTTGACATCGATAGATGGCATTATGGAATACCTATATTATAATCAAAAAGTAATAAACCGAGAAAATAACTTCATCAGCTTATAAAACAAAAACTGATTAAAAATGCATTTAAAAGTATTAACTCATGAAATAAGAGAAAAATTGCTCGAATTTTATGAAAGTAAAAAATTTGAGAATGAATGTTTCTCAATTGCAAAATCCTAGATTATGATAACTGTACTGAAATATGCTATAAAAAGAATCGAGAAATTCTCTGCCTAACACTATTAGCTTCTCATCATTTCATGAAAGAAATTTAGTGAATGAGTGTTTTGAAGCTCGAAATGAAATGCATCAAACAGATGATAGTTTAACACGAAAAAGAGAATTTAAATTTGAATATTATTTTGCTTACTGTCGACCACAACCTTCTTCCAACTGATAAGTGCTCTGTTCAAGTGCAAAAGTGATATTATCACAGAATGGATTATTTGTTTTTTCCAGTAACGCTTCGGAATCAACATTGCTAAATCGATGAGTAAACAATGTATCGAAAACAACATTTGGAGAGGAAATAACAAAAATTGTATGCAGCTGCTGCATGAAATCAATCGGTAAATTAAGGTTATAACTAAGGCGAGCCAAAACCTGCAATAGACTTATTTTTAAGCATGTGGAATTTCCATATATTTTAAAAGGATGTTGTTTTTTTTTTTTTTATTATTGTAAGCACTAATTAACTAACAAAAACCTCACGTACAGAAAACGATTGAGGCATACAAATCGATGGAAAATAAAGGAATGATAATGAACAAAGATTTTTAAAATGTAGTAAGAAAGAATTTCAGACAAATAAGAATTCTAAATGAAACATGCTGAAAAATTTACCCGATCGAAAGAGCAAGAAACTGGCTGCACTGGAATATTTGTTAGTTGAGCAATAACCATAATCGTTCGCATGTATTCGTACAGTGGCATCGTCTGAAATTGTTGAATGAGATAAAAATTTATAGTTTTCAGAAAAAAAAAAAAAAAAAATGCATATCTTTCATTTCTCATTTTTCATTCTCATGAATTGCCTTTTGACCATATACAAAAGAAAAGAGATTGATTTGTAAGAAAACTAAATTTTCTAAGTTTCTACACATCTATTTCAATGCATATTTCAGTTCTATTACTGGATAAACAAAGCACTATATGATAACGAAAAAAAAAAAAAAAAAAATGTTCATTTTCAAAATGTTCTGGTATCATCTATACCACTTAAAATGATTTGATCATATTCAGACTTCTTTCTTGGATGCAAATCTCATACAAAAACTTTCACTTGTGTATTGGCTTTTGATTAAATTCACAGGCTTTAAAAATTTTGCGATAATTTCTGCATAAGTCAACGAAAAAAGCCTGTAGTAATAAACAAATGAAAATATATAATTTTCTTTTTCTGCAATAAAAAAAAAAAGCAAAACCGGTGTTCTCGGACAAAACGAAAGTCCTCTCGCACCAGAAATATCGTTTCCTTTCCCACCAACAAGTAAAGCTGCAGACTGAAAAGATGATATTGGAAATCGGCCTTCACGAAACCATCTGTAAAATATTTGCAATTTCTACTCAAGTACGAAATAATTGAATCCATAATCATGAATTTCTAGAATAACAGATATTGAAAATACCGTGTAACATCAGATAATAATATCCAATTTGCACCAGACAGTAAACATCCCATATAAAGGATAACCATAATAATCTCAGTATTCATTGGAATGCGCAGAAGCTGAAAAATAAAAATGATTAGTATAGATGAGATCATGAAATCTGACTATGATGCTTACAATTAAAAGTAAAATGACCAGATTCATTATGGCTCATGGGTTCTAGAAAGAAATTAAATATAATAAATCATACGAGTCTCAGACAAGCTAATGACATTTGCCAATTGAAAAATCTTAAAAAAAAAGAAACGTTTCCTGTTTTAATCCAACTAATAATTTAGCTAATAACTCAATTTTGTTTTGAACATCTTTATTCCATCGAAGATATATACATTCCAAAGTGTTAATTAACAATCTCCAATCATTGTTTTCACGGCACTTCTTGTCTTTTCATGTGTTCAAAATCACATCAAAAATAAATTAATATGTGTTTGGAAAAGTTAACAATCTTTTGAAATTACAAAAAACCACAATAAAACTTACCGTAGAAAGTGCATCCTTTGAAAGTTTCGTTCGCTTTTCTATTACAGCTTTTACGTCATTCTTAAAAATATTTGAGAAAATAAAATCGGATGCATAACAATTTCACTTGTAGCTCATGTGCCATTTTTGTATGCAGTGATCTCAAACAAACTGAAGTGCTAGATTTTAGCCAAAGTTGATTAGCAACGACTGATATGAATTAAATTTGGATACTAAATTGTAACTGAGTGCATTACGAAAACATACAACATCGAGATCGGTGACATCCATATCTGCTTCGGCATCTGGATTTGTTAATAATGACAAAACATTATCGCCACGCCTCATTTGTGCTTCTTTTTGTGCTTTAACTTTCAGCTCTTTTGCTTTTTTTTGTGCTTCACTGCAATAAAGTAATTCAATTAGAAATTTACGTAAAATTATATAACATCGAGTTTATTACAATTACAACTCTCTCTCTCTCTCTATCTCTCGCAATAAATAATACTGATTGTACAGATACGTTTCCTGCATACTATATCATAATCCAGTCGTAGAACAATTATTGAAAATAGTGCAAAAAGATGTCATATCAAGTACCATACTTCCAAGTTTGATAAAATCCAAAGATTGTTTGAGATTTGTCTGTATCTAATAGTTCGAAGTATCACATTAAACTTCTGAGACATTTTAAGACCAATTAACTGCTTATTTCAAATTATGTTAAAACATACTATTCTTCGTTCTTAATTAATGGACAATATGGGTTTGCTTCATCCAACTCTTCCTTGCAGAATGCTATTCGAAAGTGCTGAAGATAATGCTGCACGATATTGAGTATATGCGACTAAAACATTGGGAATTATAAAGTGACATAATTAATGACAAATAGAACAATATTTGTTCAATTTTCATAAAATTTCAAATAAAATAAATACTTCACTCATTAGATCGGTTCAATTCAAAATACAAAAAGTAATCCATAACATTGAACATCAAATTGTTTGTAATTTTTTACCTTTTCTTTTGTAGCAATTCCATACAAATTTATTACATAAATTATAAACTTTCTTTAATAGGTTTAAGATGTAAAACAACATAAAACAACAAACCTTGACACATTCTGGTACACTAAAATCACGAATTAGTATGGCTGAGAAATGCGAAAGTAATTTCGTAAATGTTGCTAGCCGTAGACCAGCATGTCCAAGATATATCGGAAAATCTTGTTTCAAGGCTGGTAAACGATGATCTTCATCAATTGTCTCTTTTTCCTAAACCACGATTCAGAAATTTACAGCTAGTATCTTCAATTATATTTCATAGCAATAATTATCTCACTCATCATTTGCAAAACTTTTGATTTACTTCACAGTAATACACTGAATGTCATGACAAACTTTGGACAACTTTGTCATAAAAACAAAGAAGTGATTTCAAAAGTCACCTCAGCAAGTTTTTGCTCACTTTTGCCTATCCTAGTCTTCTTTTGATAAATCTTAGTTGATAATGTTGATGTCAGAATTGCGCCCTCATCATCATGATCAAATTCACGAAGAACCTACAACAAATATAATTATTGTACTTTTTCATCACACTATTATTATCATAACAAAAATAACAAAAGTAGTCAGAATATATTTAAGATCAAAAATTTCTCACAAGAAATTCTATCCAAACAAATTATCTTCTTTGAGTTTTCAACTGCATATTGTTGCCAGAACTTTCCATCTCTAACTTTTTGATTTTCATGACTATAATAAATAAATTTAAAATATTCCAAACCTGTGACTGTGTATTACACACTGCACAGTAGAAAAAACCATCTACAGGAATGAAATCTGTTGAACCACAATTATTACAATATCCTGACATTCACATATACTTCTTCTATTTCATGCCATCGATGTTTCCTTTTCTTTCACATATGAATCGCATTTTAAAATGACCAAATCTTCTGATATTCTGAACAAAAATAAAAAAAAAAAGAAGATACGCATAAAGCAATTAAATTTTGTGATCGAAGTAAAAAGTAATAAATTAAAGTAAAAAGAAATAAATTCTGCCATACAATTATTCCACATATATATCCCAAATAATCGCAGGGATAAGGTTAGTTTCATGTGCCAAAAAATTGCAGCGAATATGACTTTATAATACTTTATCAAACTATAATACTAGAAGTGACACAATCACAAATGACTGACATTAACTGCATGAATAAATAATATCAGCAGTGATTTGTTTACATCAACAATCGAAATAAATAAATATAAATAAATAGCACATAAAATAATAATGCATTATTAATAAAAACGTAATATAGGAATATAATACAGGAAAATCTATATTACACTATCAGTAATAATGCAATATAGAACACATTTAACATAGGAAAACTTCGACTTCAACTTCTCACATATTCGTAAACGCTGCATCGTCTGCTGTTGTCCTTAACTCATTTAATTTTTTTATAAATTTAAATTGATTTGCTGAAAATGTAGTCGTTAGGATTGGGTTTTCAAAGTGTTGGTTGAATCCATTAATATTCAAACTTGATTGGTTTAACTGCACCGCTATTACACCATAAATATGAATTCTTATAAATTTAAAATTTGAAAAAATAATCTTTGTTAAAAATTCTCTTAATACGTTTAATCTTGAATATGATAATAGCTGTAACAGGATTTGGAGAATAGAAGAAAATGAATGAAAGTCAAGGAAACATTCCAATAATGAAATTTACAGCAAGAGAAGGATCGATACTCTTGTCTTAAAAATTACAAATTCTGAGTTGCTGCTAGAATCTTGCGAATACTACAGCACATTCACTTGCACCTATCTCTAGTAATACAATTATACTTAAGGCCGTCGAAAGCGTTATGTAATCATCAGCACAACGGTTTGACCGTTGACAATATCCTGAATTCATTAGTATGAAGTACTTGATGGATTCATTATTTTATTCATTTCTTTATAGCACGACGTTTATATACTTTCGGCACTTTATGAGTGAGAACATAACGTTGGGGAACTGGAAGAGGCGGTGAATAACCTTGCGGGAAAGCTGAATCCTCGAATGCCACTAAATAATCATCAGCTGCTGTAACTGGTACCTGATCGATTACTCCCTGAATAGGAAACACTATCTTATGAGATATAGATTTTCGTTTTTCCCTGTTTGATAATTTATTCAGACACAATATATGCTATTTAAAGAAAACTAATAAAATAGACAAAATTCCGAATATTAGCTATTATCATACTGCTTTTGTCTTCTGCATAATAAATTAACATCTAGCATAATTTAAGTTTCTCTTTCAATGAATCTTCTCACAGTTCTAATACTTTAGCACTTACCTTATAAAAGCATGTTGTTTGAGGATAAAGAGCAAGAACGATAGCACCTACAGGAAACAGTGCATGACTGTCACGTAAAGGATCTGCACGCCATCTCGGTAACGGAATCATACGACTTCTTCGAACAATATATTTGGCTTTTTGTTCATCATCGACATCTTTAACTTCATATTTCGAGGATGCAAAAACACTGGTCACCTCAGCAAGCATCCATATTCCATCAATGAATGCAGCCACTTCCATACCAACCTAAAATTTTGCATACCATTAAACAGTCACTTAAAATAAATTTAAAAAAAAATTGGATTAAAATCTTTTCACTAAAATTGAATTATGATCTGCAAAATCTTTGAAACCTTCAAAGACATCGATACAAATGCTGGAATGGCACCAACTAATGCCGGTGGATGAGTATCTGGTGGTCCAATCCAGAGCGGAGCAGTGCGCGCACTCTGCGATAACATTTGCATCAACTCACCACGACCTACTAAGTTACTGCGTTGGAACTCATATTTTCTTTTGCGTAACTTTTCGATATCTTCCAAAAGGTTCCTGACGCAAGTAGCTTCTACCTCGCAGGCTTTTTTAGCTGAAAAAAAAAATTTATAAATCAACAACATTTCAATTAACAAATCAAACAAATATATATGAGAGGAAATGAATTAACAATACATTTATGTCTCTAATTTAGTACGAGAAAATCCAAAAAGTGGAAAACTTCAAAACAACTGAAAAATCCAATGTAATAAAAAATTTTATAACTATTATTCAATCAATATGAAGAAATGGCAGAAAAAAAACTTAGCCCTTTCTCATGCCTCTACTGATTAAAATTACTCATGGAAAACACTTAAGAAACGTAAAATTCAAATTAACTAACACGCCATGCATTTAACAGATATACCCACAAATTATAGATGAAACAAAAGAAATACCGTTTTCGTATAGATTTAATACTCGGCCTCGGAGAGCACCATTCAATTTGCATCCAATACTGAGCTTATTCTTATCAACTAATTCCTGTAGGGTAGACAATGATTCATTAACTTTCTTCTTCAGCGGAATTACTAACTTCATCTGTAAGATATTATAAGCAGTTAAAACAAAACAATGGTTGTTTCTTTCTAAAAATATGATAGACTGAAAAAGATCCTAAGTAGATTGTTGATAAAACTAGTAATCTATTCTTGAAATATTAGGCCCAAATAATCTATTCCATTAACAGAATTACCACAACTGCTTCTGACAACTTGTTGCAACTGTCAATCTCGGTAATGGAAAAAAAAAACAAACACAGGTTTTCTGGAAAAGATGTTCAAACACTTTCTTCATTTAACCAACAGAAATAGAAATAGTTATTTAGTGTTATCATTTTCAATCAAATAGGTTGGATCTCAAAAAAAAGAACATTTTGCACAGAAGAATAATTTAGTACCTTTTTCTGGATATCCTGTAGTGCAATTTGCAACTTTTCTTCATCTTTATCCAGCTCACTATTACGTCGTCGCTTACTTCGACGCATTCTTTCACTCAATTGCTTTCTTTTTTAGTCCCCTAAAATTTGAATGGAATTTGAAGTATTGGAGTAACTAAGTTGAAAAATATAACAATCATTGTTTAACATATCTGTCCGCTTATATTCTAACATTCACTTAATATAATGACACTAAGGCACGCACTAAGGGCAATAGATTTAATCTGAATGAAATAAAAAAAAAAAACCTTTCCAGAATAACGAATTATAGCGTCAATGAGACTTCGATATGAAACACCCTTCTGCAGCAATTCCACGCAAACCAATAACTGAGATGGTGTTAGAGGAACACGAAGAAAAACGGCTAAACTTTCAATCACTAAAAATTGTCAATCAATCTATCTTATGAAAAGATTACTGCTAAAATTTTTACTTTCTTAGAACAAGTTCCATTAATAGAAATAAGCATGAAAACAAAAATATAAATGCACGACATACTAATTAAATTTTATCAAAGTTTACCAATGAATAACTTACATTCAGTAGTTTCCTTCGATAACTGAATATTCTCTTTTAAGCCAGATTGTTGGAAACTCATGAGAACCAACCCTTGAAAAAAAAAAAAAGTCTTTAATTCGAAAGAAAAACAGTATAATATTTCGTGTAAATAGAAAATATCGCCCAAGAATCTTTTGTAAATTATTAACATTCCAAAATGATAGAACATAAAATCCTTGCTACTGAGGTCAGAGATCCTTTGAATTCAAATAAGCAAACTCCACTGCTTTATAATTAACTGATTAACCATATTTTTTATCTTTTCAAATGCTTACAGCACAATTTAAGCAATATCCGTATTTTGTAAAAGTATATAAAAGTATTCGTATAAAATTTATTCATAAATAGTCATCTTTCTCTCACTCAATTTATTCTAGTATTTTAGCAATTTCTAGTAGAAGTCTGAACAGATATTTCGCATGATAGCATGAACCAGTATTGCTTAAACTCAAATAAAATGTACAAATTTATTCAAATTTATACTAGAAAAAAATAATTTTCAAACCATTTAAAAGTGTCATGTAAAAACAAACAAATTAAATACACTCTACATTCACTTTAAATTTCCCTCCCTTCTTCTTAAGCACTTCCTGCTCTGTTCCACATAACACGACATCAGTATTTTGAAAAAAAAAAAAAAATCACCATAAAAATGAAAACACAAACTTTTGAAAATTTTTAATTTTTGTATTCCAACTATAAGTTAGGTAATGTGAGTTTAGGTAATGTAATAATAGATTTTTCGGAAATGGCGATAACAGATTTGGATCATCTCAAGACGAAAATTCTCACATTTTAACTCGCCAAAGTAATTCCATATCTAATGCATGGATCAAAAGTAATGAATTTAAATTAACAAGAAATGACAGGGTTGAATGAATTAGTTTAGCAATAAAATTTTAGGAAATTTTCATCCTGAAAAGAACAATAAAATCAAGGCAATGTACAAAAGATAATCAACTGTACAATTAATATAAACAAATCTAATGAATGTTTGCTTCTTCAGAAATGTTTAACAATTGAAGTAGCACATCTCACTCGTGAAAACCTCTTAATAGTTGAAAAAAAATAAAAAATAAAATAAATAAAATAAACATAATGACTCTAAGTTTATTTATGACTCTCTCTCTCTCTCTCTCTCATCAAATGACATATTCTATTTACAGACAAACTGCTTGATGATCGATATTATAAAATACAACATCAGCATGTTGAACAACAGCTATTAACAACTTTCCATCAACAATCTTCAAACTTAACCAATGCAAATCAGAAACGGATGGAAATGGAAAACGAAAATTTACAATTAATAGTCGATATAATGGTTTAGGTGAAAGATTACGACAAAATGTACCATCACCCGCATATATATCATAGTCAATAGGTAAATGAATGAAATCTGAGACATCTGCTGAAGGATTCAATTTCAATATCTTTGCTCGCTCCTTACGATAATCTGACCAAGTTGGGACACGATTAGAGAATTGATCAAATCTTGGCCAGTAACGAGGCCTTAGAATTTCTCTGAAATTCCTTTGGCTCTCATCATATTTATTCCAATTAATTTGTTCGATGTTTGCAGTAGGAAAATCTTCACATACACCAAATACTTCCATTAATTTTGGATTACGACGAAAATTAGTCATTGTTAGTTTCATCGACTTCATAGTGGGAAACTGATCAAGAAGATTGACAGGAAAGAGAAATTTTGGCTTAAGCTCCCATTGCTCATCATTTTCATCGTCTATCAACGTTCCAAAAGCCTTGTACGGTATCACAACATAGCCAGCACGTTTTAAATATGAATAAACAAAAAATTTTTCTGGTGTAATTAGAAATGTTTGCAGTAATCGATAGCATTCCTGTACAGATAATTGCATTCCACGATGAAGAACAACAGCTAAGCCAACTTCGACCATCCAAACTACTTCCTCTACGAAAAAGTAATGACCATCTCTCCGTCTGATGCCCATCTTCATTTCACAAGCATTTCGCAATTGAAGTGCTTTAAAAACTTTATCTTCAGCATTATACTCAATCAATGTTAACCTTTGGCTGCTTCGCGCATTGTCTGATACATACTTGAAATGGGAATTCACCGTACCACATCTTGTTTTACATTCCATTAGTATTCACTACAACAGAAAATTTAAATCTTCAACAATATAATTGAACTTATTTTTTTTGAAACTTAGCATATTTCAGTTGACGAAAAAAGAAAAAAATTGCTGATCAATAGAGAGCACACAAAAAGTACACTCCCTTCATTAATCAAATTCCAGCTACCATTAATGAAATCGATTTAACTAACAGAAAATACTCAGTATTATTATATAGTAAACAAAATGACTTATTAATTGTTCAATATTCCAATTAAACTGATAATACTAGCAAATTCCAACATATATGCATTTCAAAAATCCAGTTCAAAAATTTTTATCCCAAGAATTTGCTGCCACAAAATTTAATCCGTGAAAAATGACACAACAAAGGTAATCCTATAAACACCCATCTCAGCCCTATCTCAGATACATCACGCCGTGAAGTCAGCCGATCCAACGCACATTCCGTCGCATCAGTCATCTATTTTAATCTATTCCTGACTTAGCTATCGATAACATATATTCTAATATGCTTTGAAAATCTAAATCAAATTTTGAAAAAATGTAAATGTGCTAGAATAAGCTGACCAAAAATTTCAAATTATCAATGTCATTTGAAATTTCTCAACAATAATATATTTAATTCACTGAAATAACCCCTAAAACAAGGAGATCATATAGTGATATGTCGTAAACATATTATTCTAAAATAGTTTCAGGATAAGAAATTGAAGTATCGATTTTTTCCATTTTCCACCTATATATGCATCACGTCCACTCAATGCTACAATTATTAGCCATTATTTTTTTTTTAGAAAATAATAATTACATCTTCTCTTGTTGTTTTTCGCCTTCGTCACAAGAAAAAAAAAAAAAAATCAGTTATCAATCACTAAGATAACTAACATTTAAAAGCATAAAACTGCCTTAAATATTTCTAAACCTTTACAATCTAAATATCAAAAAGATCACAAAAATTCCAAATTCTGCTATCCGAACTACTAAATTATGCTCTCGACTAATCAAAAATTATTCTAAGAATTTTGAATTTGGCAGCATCCAACCAATTTGTGCACCCTGACCTTTTTTTTTTTTTTTTTTTTTGGATTTCTAATTCTGAAACGGTCTGAAAATGAATCATCCAGATGGAATATTATGAAAAAACCAGGTTTCAATAAGTCGAAAACATCAAAAAGCATACACATAATTCTAACGTGTAACACGTGTTACTATAATTTCTGTTAAATTTAATCAGCGTGAATCAGAATGCTATCACAATGATATGACAAAATATTGCTATTTTATATTTTATGCAAATTAGCTTTTATGCAAAATATTACTTCAAAACGATGTTCATTTATAAGTGAAATAATAACTTGGAAATTTATTTTTACCAAATGTTAACTAACTGATTATTACTTTTAACGACTAATTCTTCTTTCTTTTTTTTTTTTTTTCCTCGTGATAGAGATGCGCGCATTTAATTACTAGGCACCACAAGCTTTGGCCGACATCACCACAAGCTTTAAGCTTAATACCATTGGTAATAATATAATAAAAGTAATCCAAAGCAAATGATAATAATATAACCGAATTCCTTGATAAGAAAGAATAAAAATTGAAATTACGGAGAATTTGTAAAATTGAATTTTATTGATTTAATTAACTTTTTTTTTTGTGAATCATTTTTATTGTTCATTTTTAATTACTAACATATTCAGTTCTCTTTCTCTCTCTCTCTCTTTTACTTTTTTTTTGCTTCTTTCCTCTTTCTCTCTCGTATAAAAACGATAAACTGTTTTGAATTATTGTTTGTTTCAGTTAAATTAAAAATGTTGCCTTTTTAAACTTTAATTTTAGATTTAATTTTAGATCATTTTTTTTTTTGTTTTTGTTTTAGCCTCGACGAATCATAACACCTAATTATGCGCGTATGCAAATTAGACGACTTGAAATTGTGCGAAAAATAATGAAGCACAATTTCTGCTTAATACATAGACAGAAATGAAAACGATGAATCTGATGATCGTTCTCGAAGTAGTCGAGTAATCGACAACAGTTAGAGAAATGAAGCACAGTGTTTGAGAAGAAGAGCAGCTAGTGCTATTAGAAGAAATTCCAGAAGAAGAATCAGAAGAAGATCAATGACTAGACCTAGAATTAGATCATTGTCACCACCAAATTCATCCATTTTACAAACTGCAATTGAAGTATCGCAAAATCGTAGCATGCATGAAAATAATGATGAAAATTTGAGGTAATTGTCCATGTAAATTTTAAATTTAAATTTTAAATATAAAGTAATTATTTATATGTAAGTGAAAATTTAACTGAATATGTGATATTATTCATTAAAATTTAGGATAAAATTTGAAATCTAAACTAAAATTTTTTCTTTTTCAGAAGATGAAAATGATGATTTTTAATCTCAACAAAAAAAAAAAAAAAAATCAGCAAAAAAATTAGTGCAATAAAAGCTGATGAAGAATTTAAGCATTTTGCTATCGAATGCATTATTTCAACAGTCAAACTTAAACATTCATCATTTGAATATTTCTTTTAATTCTATTTTCACACTCTGAACAAATGAATAAAGCAATTAAATAAATTATTTATGTTCATGAAAAAAAAATAAATAAATAAATAAATGTGAATCTAAAAAAAAAAGAAAGAAAAAAAGAGTTTGAAAATGAATGAATAAATTTTGGTACAATTAATCAAATTAGGCTAATTATTAATGGAATGAAATGAAATGAAATAAAATTGATTGTTAAAATCGTGAACATTCGTTACTTTTCATGAAAATTCTACTATCCGTTTAATATTTAATCTAAATTTTTTACGTTTTCCTCATTCATTCCGATTTAATTTGCATAAAGAATTTTTTTTTTTTTTATTAACAAAATTTTGTGCAAATTAAAAAGAATATCACACATTT